ACTGTTTGAAAAAAAATCCCATGGACATCGTTTAGTGTGAAATCAAAAAACGTATACATTGATTGTTCAACCCTCCGCGGGAAAAAATCAGTAGAAACCCCAAATTTCAAACAAAACGCACAAACGATCAGAGTCCTGCACCAAGCCAAAGGCCTAGCGACAATAAACATCAAACCAAATTTCGCATGTCAAGCGATCTCCCAAAAACTCGCACCCAGACACATTCCAACGCGACAATCATTTCACCCATCGGACATGCGGGAAGGTAGAAACACACGCGGCGAAACAACAGTGCGGACGCAAACAAGTCCTTGCCAAAAATACAAACGATCATTTTGCAGATGATAAACTAAACTCGGCGATGTGCATTTTGAATCATTTCGATGCCAAGGCGCATTTAGTTTGCCTTAGCAATTGTATTCGGGGCAGCGGTTTTGCCAGACGTGAAATCTCCATGCCGAAGGCCCCTTGGCACCCCCAACGACGTGCGAAATAACCCGGGAAAATCAAACATGCTATATGAAGTACTGTACGGATTCAAGATCCGAAGATGCGAGATGCTCAGACAATGCAACAAGGTGCATCATGATTCAAAAGTTGCGGTGTTAGAAAACAAACATGATGCATGCCTAGCAAGCGGCGGGTACTTTCCCTTATGCAAACACGAACCCCGTATGGTGACCCGTTCCCCGCTTTTGGGGAATTGTTTTTTCCGTGAACATTTTTTTTGCCAACAAGAATTCGCAACAACAATTTATTTGAAATGTGAACAATTTTTGTTTTGTTGGAAATTTTACTTGATGTAGGACAAATTCAGAGTGTCAAACTTGCCTATCAAGACACAAACTCGTTGACCTTAAAGGTACTGAATTGACACAACAAAAACAAACAAACTGTTATGTTGATGAACCACAATCCTGGGCACACGAAAACTAGAGGTTCGCTAGTACATGTGAAATCTTTACCTCACACTTCTCACACCTCTCACACCTCTCACACCTCTCTACCGACGTGTGAAATATCCCACAATTGGACCCATCATTTCCCGCGCCGCCAAACCTGGTGAAGGCATCAAACAAAACAAAAATAAGCAAACACAATGCTAACATGGCAGTCCAACACATACCAATCAAGGCCACTCGCTACATATAGTCTGTATATATTATATGTTTGTATCTATGCGGGATACTTCATGCCAAATTTGGTGAAGGCAAAACTGAATAAACACAAGAGCAACAGAGTAGTTTCATGCATACTCTCTACCCGCATACACTTTTATGTTTGATACCTTCACGGCGCACGAGGAACAACAGAGAATTCGAGAAACACAGCGGAAACATGGCACGTTAACGCCGGCTCTCCATCAAAAACCATCAATCAAGAGGGTTCCATACATACAATTTGTATGCTCGATACTTTCATACTACGAAACTTGGCGAATGCATCAAAAGAAACAGAATTCAACAAGTACAGCGCAACAACATGCCAGTCCAACACGTCGTTTATGCAGAACCGCCAAAATTAAAAAGACTCGCTGCATACAATTTGCATGCGTGATACGTGTACGCCGCAAAACTTGGTGCTCAATGTCGAGGTCTCGTTGGTGACGCCACTGTGACGCTGGTTTTTGCGTCGCTTGTAAACTGGTATTTTCTTTGATTTGTCTAGTGCTAGGCTTGAAACTCCTATTCTTGCAGCACGTTTGTAATTGTTCTTTTAATCTGTCATGTGGTATTCTTCAACTTCAGGTTTGTTATTTTGTTTTTCCTGTTTTTGTGTTGTTTTTTAATTTGTTGTCATGATTCTTGCATGACGCGGTTATTTTGATCCAATTTTAGATTTATCAACTGCTTTTGTTTATGGTTCGTCCTTCCGATTTTTCATGTGTTATCCGTTTCTTCCATGTGCAATGAAGAGGTATGATAGTATGATTAAAAAAATGCGGACAACAATTAGGAAATACTGAGTGATAGATGTGGTGTAACATGAATTGACAAGTACGTGTGCGCGACGTATGATGGAAATCAAATTATGGTAGCAGGAAAACCTCTTGATGAACAAAAACTTCGATCCTTGACCTTCCAAAACATGGAAAACGCAGATGATGATGCACGAATGCGTGATGGAGAAGCAGGAGATCGAGGGTCAACGAGCCGCCATGACACACCACCAAGAAGGGGAAATCCCGAGTCAGCAGAGGAGGAAATTCCTGTGTTTGACCCACCAACTGAATATGGCCCACTGGCAAACCAAAACGGGCTCCTCTGCCAAGGCCTCGGGCGACAGGTTCACGTAATCAAGATGAGGAGCCACATGGGAGAGAACCGCAACCTTCAGAAGCTGTTGCGGAAAGCTTGCAGGAGGAGGTAGATCGCATGGAGAAGCACTTGAGGGAGTTAAAAGAAAGAGAAGAAAGAGCGCAGTTGGTTGGAGACGAAGATGAAGCAGCAAACCTGAGAGTTCAGATTGCCAACGTAGAAAACCTACAATTGGCACTTCCGTGACCTAACATCATAGGTTAGGAATTTCATTTTTTTTGGCCATGCAAGTTTCAAAATGGATCAGTGAGCAACAATAGCTCAATGACCCAAGGAGGAGTGAGAAACATCAAACATATGACTCACAGCATGGCCCATGTGCAAGGATGACTGCACGAATCAAGAAGTGTAACATGGCATGCAAAGCATGTTGGGTTGCTGCAGACCGCAGCCGCTTTGGCAAAAAACACGCCAGGTTCGCAAAAAGGAAATTGCAGATGTGTGTTGATAAGACGCGACGGGACCAGCTATTTGTGCGTGTGGGTGTTCATTAGTTCGCGCTGTTTTTAATATGACTTTATTATTGTCATTTTGTAACGGTTTCTGCCCAGTGAATCTCGGGAGCAAGACGGTGCTGCAATTTTTGGCTGAATAAACACCAACTGTTTAATTGGGAGGGTGCCCTTTTAAGTATTTGACTATTATTATTGGAGGAGTACGGCCCTAATTAATAATCTGCAATTTGTTGAGGTTGGCATTACATGCGTAATACGCTGGAGCGTTGACATTAGCATGGAAAAAGTGGGTGTGGTTTCACGAGGATGTTCGCAGGTGCATGAAAAATTCAGGAGCATAGCCAAATGAATGTCTTGAAAAATGTGCTCATAAATTGGGACCGTAGCATCACGAAAGTGTTGGTGGTTCCTTCAAGAACTGACGCATCAGTTACCTCCGTGATCGCAGGCGAATGACTTACGCGCCGAAATCGTCCCACCCGAACCAACTACGCCACGTGCACAACGGTGAGTGAGTGAGACCTGCATGCCCACCTAGTGGGTGACCCATTGAGGGCACAGACAAAGAAACTAATGTGGTTAAAACAAAATAAACAACCCATTTGGGAATAGTTTGTACCACCTATTGATGGTGATTTTGGGGATGGTTTATTCTTCTTTAGCCAGATTACAACCAGGTCAGGCCATCGTAAGCAAAGTCAACAAAAAATTCGTTTCATGATTGGCTGAGAAGCCGTCATCCAACGCAACACCTCGCCACGAACGAAGAATTGATAACAAAATATGATATCAATTTGCCAGCGCACGGTGTTTCAGCGCGAATTGCCCAACGATCCAACGGTAGTTTTGCAACATATCCACAAAAACGCTCATTGTTCTCACCATTGGAGTACCTTTTGATAGTTGCTTCCATGCATGCCTCGGCGAATGCATGTCACTCATAACGGACTATGGGCCATTGTGCTGACCAATCAATGTGACCGTGTGGGGAAACAATACGCCGTACCAATTTGCGGCGTTCAGTGGAAATTGTTCCCAAGTCTGGTTTATGGATTGTACGTTGGCGACGGCCATAACAAAGAGCGGGATCGACAGCAGATTGGAATAAACGAAGACGATGTGTGATGGACAGTTGCCAATTTTGTAGTATCCAAGGGTTTGCATGATACGTCTTCGATGCTTGGGCCATCTGGTATTGCAAACCGAGACTGTGATTGTTTGACCCTCGCGTTGTAGGCATGCAAGTTAATAATTCGTGAGCGACACCCGTTACCAAATTTTGAAACACCAGCCTTTCCATGCATACAACACTTCATGAGCGGTTGGCTTACACCCGTCAAAACAAGCTTCGGCACGTGATTTACAAAAACGCCCGCTTCTGCAAGACAACCTGTGGGATAACCTACAAAAGTTGATGCCTCCGAATTGGACCTTGCGAAAAGCAAAGTGTTGTCCGCAAAACGCAAGTCAACCAAAGCGGGCAACCCAGCCCTCAAATCCAAATTTGCATGTCCAACGTGCAAAGTTCCATTTTCGCGTTGTTAGCTGCAAGACTGAACGCAGCAGCCGTCCGCTTAACATGCCTCCTTGTCGCACGCTTAAATTGACGCAGACAGAGACTTGCAGAGATTCCTGCTCCACCCCCAATCGCCCAATACATCGCCAGATTGGTTGTGATACAACATGTGAAAAATTCAACGCAAATGATTGGAAACACCGTCAGTAGCCAAAATTTCCCACAAAACATTCCATTTGACTTTATCAGACGCCTTCGACAAATCCAAGTTTATGATCCATCAGCCGTTTTGTCCAATAACAAGTTAGCAGCCAACAAGTGTTCCAGAGCGGAACCGGAACAGCAGAGTTCATCCTGCAGCGTTTTGGGAACAGGCTGGCCCAAAAAAAACTGCGAATTTAAAACAAAACGGGCAAAACGTAACGTCACATACAGTAGTAGAAACAACACGAAAATGAATCTGCAAGAAACTTTGCGTTCTGAGGGACGCACGAATAAACAAAAAAAATGTTTTGACATTGAAAATGGCAGGTGTTGATACTGAAACAAGGCTCGGATGCTTAAACAAACTCATCACCCATGCCGATTTCGACTTGCCAGTCCCTGTGGTCCATCATGGGTTGGTGCCAAGGCAGGCGGCTCTTGTCTTTGTTGCAAGTTTTGTTGCCCCCGACGGACAAAATTGTGCCAGACTCCGTGCCAGTTGTGAAGGATAGAATGGTGGCAAAGTGCAATGATTGATGCTGGGACTCCGAAAATCCAGCGCGCAGTTGACACAGGCGTGGGTTTCAGCATTTTTTGTTGCAGGAAATGGACGGAACACCCGGAATTTAACTCTGGTTCACATGGACCTCACAACGAGTTCACCCAGAGCGGTTTTGACATTTCGCCAACATATGTGGTTCGTTACCGGTTGCAGAAATAGTTCCACCAAGTGGGAAAATTTTTAATTCATATGTTTATGTTTTGAACATGTCGTGTTAATATGACTTGAAAGCATGATCACACATTGAACATGGTTTATTTCCAGTTCAAACAGTTGAAAAATCAATGTGCCCTGGCAGGTGATGATCTGCCTGCGCTGTGGGCTCGCCGCCGCCACCTGGAACTGTTGTTGGAGACAAATGGGTATGGATTCGGACAGGGGAATCATTAAGGTGGGAAAAGAAAGGGGAAATTCAAATTATTTTTTGAAATTTGACCATATGGACAACTCAACCATGAAATGACGATAGAGAACCGTACACATATCATGGAACCCATTACATGTCCCCAATCGCATTGTTGTTGGGGCCATGGAATTTTCCTTGGCAAGTAAAACAAGGGATGCCGTGGGCCATTATGGAATTGAAACAGTTCATGCTTCTGTGGAGCGTTCACAGAAGCGCAGAACTGCAGGTCAAGTCGCAGTTCCGCCATTGCCCGAACATGACCTTGGAGTTTCCAGCAATTCTTTGGAGAGGATGTTGCAACCACGAGCTGCAGCGCGGCTGTTGGAAATGGTTGGGGTGCCAAGCTCGCTGCGTTGCCTTAATTCAGGAAGATCTTCATTCCGTTAATATCAAATACGTCCGAAAGGGGGTTCCAAAATGAATAGATCCAATGCCGAGTTGCAGTTTTCAGGGATATTTGATGTTTTGGGGAAGGGACTATACCCGTTGTGCCGTGGCTGCCCCAAAACCATCACAGGTTCTTCGAAAACCTTTGCTGAAACGCTGCAGCTATGGCTTCTGCACCTGGCGCTGCGCAGTTGTGCGGCAAGTGACGTGCCCAAACATGCTGGCATATATATATATTATACATACATTCTAACAATATAAACGTTATATATGTATGTATATATATGTATGTATGTATGTATGTACCTAATGTATATGTGCATAATGTATCTATATTTGTATTTCTTTTTATATCTATATGTATATCGATATCCATCTCTATCTATATCTATATCTTTATCTATATGTACATGTACATGTACATGTACATGTACATGTATATGTATATGTATATGTATATGTATATCTATATCTATAGCTATATCTATATCTATATCTATATCTATAGATGTGGCAGTAGGTATCTCATCGTAGTTTCGAGAACTTTATTGGCAACGAAGAGGGGGATGCTGCCACAACTGTGGTTGGCCACAGCTTTGTCTGTTTTTCATGCTGCCTGTAAGGCCACAGTGACAAAAACGCTTGTGCTGTCTCCATGTAACTTACTGGCTGAGGCTGTGGTGGGTTTGCGCAGTTGTTGTTTTTGATGCTGGAATTTGGCAGCGTTTCTAACATTTCCAGAGCGTGAAAAAGGTTCGGCCATTCCGAAACATCAACATCATTGACCCAAGTGGCAGTCTTCAATCAAACTCTTTGCATGTTTTGAGGCCCTCTAGCTTGCAGGTGCTTCGCCATGTTTTCCACCTCCGAAAAGCTCAAAGATTCCAAGAATGGCGTGCCACCGCGGTGCTTCGATCAGAGGGAAGGGAGATTGTGTGGAGGGATCAGCAGTAAACAGTGACCATCACTCCAATGATGGTGGACTGATCATGATTAATCATAGGCTTGGGCGTGTAGTCATGGCAAACACTCTCACCAGGCCTGGCTGGCCGTGCGGCAGCAGCAGGATGACTTCAGAGCAGAGTTGCGGGCAATTGCAGATCAGGAGCGACGCACCGGAGTGGTTGGGAACACAACGTGTGAAACCCCAGATGTCACAAGTCAACTGGGTCTGACGAATTGGATGGGCCCTTAAAATGGCACCCAAGTATCAGGGTGTATCCCAGTATATCCCAGTCCCATTTGACCAACATATTTTAGAGTTTCAGCAACCAGAGTTGGGACTCAGACTCAGATGTGTTTTTTGCCAGAAAAATGGGAGATCTTCAAAACCGCCAAAATTGCTAGAGACATTGAGTGCCAACCACCTTTGGAGTATAGCAATCAATAGCAATCATCAAAAAGGAAAAACAATAGAGAGATGTAGTGGTCATATCCACTTTTTGCGCATTTTTTTTGAGATGTTTCTGAGGTTTCTATGCCTTGTAAGGAAAACCATAGGAATCCTCCGTTGGTTTCCGCCGCAGGATGCCGCGGTGTCAACGCAGCTGATGGCTTGTGCTGAGGGAGCTGCCGCCAGAGCCAGGCGGTTCCTTTTTGGATCGTTGGACAAATTTGGACAAATTTGGATCCCGGTTATCCGATAGTTGATCCCGGTTGATCCCATGTTTGGTGCCTCGACGGAGGAGCAGTGGCTTCCGCGCCGCCGGCGCAGTGTTGGGTCGCCTTGCGAGCGTCAGGATGTCCGCGGCGGTGGAGCGATGGAAGGTGCATCGGTGCACGGGGAGGTGAAGAACCAATGGAAACACGGGGAACAAACGAAGTAAACCAAGGATTGTATGTGGAGATTTGGGATTTGATGGGATTTGAAATTGATCTTATGGTTTTTTTGTGCAATTTAATTTTGTGAGTTGGACAGCTTTATTCTGGTTGGGTGTAATCGGTTTTGAATGAACCACACAAATAGGTGCTGAACCACCAAGAAGTTCCCAAATCATCTTAGAAGTCTCCTAAGCCAGATAGGAAAGTTGGCATCAAATACACAATGAATGTGTGGTTCCTGGTTTCAAGCACAACATTTCCGATTTTCACACTTGGGATGAGGATTTGGGAAGGTGTGTGGGGAAAAATCATCCCAAATTGTGGTTAGATAATTTATTTCGGATGGGTTGGCAATGCCCAAGCATTCATGGTCACAAACCTGAGAGGCATTTGGCCAAGAAGTTGCAGTGCGCAAGAGGCAGCCCGAAAGCAGCAATGCTCGGGGTATGATTTGGCTGAATTGTATCACCATGACCCCAGGGTAAAATAACAGTCAGGCAGGGATATGATCATGCCCAAGGTGGTGTGTTTCAAGTTGGTATATTGGCCCAGATGAGATGGGACAGTTTTTCATCCCTTACTTCCGTTGCCAAGATGTGATGGTTGGGGCAAATGAAGGCCTCCCCAAGCACATTGTCTCTGGTCATTTGACATGACCATAGAAAATTCCAAATTTCAACGGGAAAAGCGTCCACAAAAGGGACATCAATTGGGGATTTCCCCTGGCTAGGTTAGATTACCAGGCAGCTTCAGAGAGGCGTCCCTCCGGTCCTTTGAACGCGAGGTTCCAAGGCCTTCAAACTGCAGCTGTCCGTTGCCTGCAGCATGTGGTGCGTGCTCGTATGGGCTGGGCGTGGGCTAGATGGCATTGTGCCAAGTGGCCAAGGCTTGGCACGAAACTGCAGAGAAACAACAGGAGGACCACATGGATCAAGTCCATACCAACCCACTGACTGTTGAGCTAAACAGCAAAACCCTTTCCATGGAGGTCAAGAAGTGGGCACCGCGAAACACCCGTGAAAGAGGTCGGGCCAGCGGTGTTGTTGACCTCGATGCCAATGATGAGCATGTGACATCAGCGCGGTCAAAGATCACGCAGTCTCCGATTGTTTGTCACTCTCAACTGCTCTCCGGCAAACCCAGCACTGGAAAACCCTATGCCCAGGCCTCTAATCCAGCAGGGGATTTCGTGGCAGGTGCCTGGCAGCTTCTTAGCTGCACGTTCCCTGCCTTTCTGCCCATTGGCTGCACGTGCTGAACAGCTGCTACGGCTGAAAGTCCGCCTGGCGTGGCATGCAGCCCACCTGCAAGGATTGGGGTTGTACCGTTGTACCTCTGAGAGTCCAAGGCACAGGAAACCCCCCACATTTTTATAGAATTTGATGGAAACAGAAGTGATATTCCTCCTGAACCTATTTTGGAATGGGATTTTTCCGTTGCCAGGTTTCTATGGTTGATATTATCATCATATTCCAAATCTTATTCCTAGTCCTACTATTACTATTACCGTTACATGTGTTGTGGTCACTGGTATTGTCCATTGTTTGCCTTATAGTTGTGATTACATATGATAATGCAAAGGGGATACATGACCGCAAAAGATACATGTCTCAATAAGCCAACCATGACGAGGGATTTGTGGGAGATGATTTTGGGTGAACATGGTCAAATTTCAGCTGTTGACTGCGACGGGTGATTGACCAGCTGACCATTTTGGCTTCACAAAGATGTACCAGAATTAGTGCCAAGAGCTATTTCATAATAGTAGGTGGTCCAATTCGATCACATTTTGCCACCTTAGCTGAGCTTGCAATGTTGAGATGCAATTTTCATCAGTTTTCAAACTAGCAAAAGCTTACCCAGACCTTTAGACTTTGTCAGTTTTCATCATTTTCCTCATTTTGGATTGTGATTTTCCAAATCAAATCTGATCCGGTTTGACCCGCTACAATTGTGGAAAAACCACAGAAAAAGACATCTTCCCCCGGTCAAAAGGGCCATATCCAATGGCGCATCGCGTGCTGTTTCTCCCGGGTGATGGTGTGGGGCCCGAGCTACTGGCCGCTGCCCAAGTGGTCCTGCGTGCCACTGGTGTACGATTGAAGGTGGAGACCATGGACTATGGCCGGAGCTATGAGAGAACTCACGGCAGGGGATTGGTGGGCTTAAGTTTGGCTGTAAGTTTGAAGGCTTTACAAGTTGTGTCACTATGTACAAGATTTATCTAAGCCAGGGTAGATAAGGGTAGGGGGCGATACTACAGGGTTTCATGCTTCTGATTCCAGCAGTAAAACCAGCCCTCAACATGAGTTTTGGAACCTGCTTCAGGCGTCCCTGTGAGTGAGAAACACTTGGATGCCATCCAGCGCCTCGGCACAGTGCTGAAAGGTCCGATCGAAATTGACCCCAAGACCCCCTTGCTGGAGCTGCGGGGTCGACGCTTCACTTCGGCCAACCAGGCCCTCCGGAAGATTTTCCAACTCTACGCCAACGTGAGGCCCTGCAGATTTCTGGAGGGCGTGAAGGGCGTGAAGAGCGTGAAGGCCGCCTTTCCGGATACCAACCTGGTGGTGGTCAGGGAGAACACAGAAGGGATGTACACAGGGGAGGAGCGCTGGGAAGGGGAAGCTGGAAGCAGTGCTGTGGCAACGCGACGGATTACGAGGGAAGGGACCCTTCGCGTGGCGCGCTTTGCATTCGACTTTGCGCAGAAACATGGGAGGAAGAAGGTGACGGTCCCTGGGTGTTGCTTTAGCATGACTTGTGACTAGGCCTGGTGTGTAGTGATTATTGGTCTCCAGCATCACGCTGTTTATCGATGCTAATCGTTACTTGGATGTTATGATGGGTGTGACTGTTAGACGCAAGAACATCTATTGGACATGTGTGACTAGCAAGCAAGCACACGTGGACTGGCAGATGAATGAATTGACAAACAGATGCTCACACAAATGAAAGCATGAATGGACAAATGTATGCATAGATTGATTGAATGAATGCAAGAGTGAGTGAATGAATTTATGCATGATTCAAAACATGAATGAACGAACAAACACACACACACACAGAATGGTTTGTGTACGCAATTTATTGTTCTTCTTATATATTGTTATCATTATTAACCATTATTCGAAGGCAGTTTAGAATTTAGAAGTCAAACTTCCGACAATATGGACAGATGAAAAGCAGAGTAGGGCAGAGGCAGAGAGAAGAGAAAGATTAGAAGAGAGAAGAGTAGAAGAGAAAGAGTCAGAAGAAAGAAGATGCAGATGCGCGAAAAGGTAGGAAAGTCGCGAAACACTGTGTTTTTCCAATGATTTGTGGCTCCGGAGGGTCGAAAAGTAGGCTCGCTAAAGCGGCGGGTGCGGAGCCAGCTGGCCAGATGAGAGATGAAAAATTGCACGCCGTTGTGGCGCGAAGCGCATTTCGAAGTCAAAATGTATAAAACACACCAGCGCCGGACCACTTTTGGAAGTTGAGATGACGAAAAAGCGCGCGCCGTTGACATGACAAAAAATGACAGGGACAAATCACAGGACCAAAACAAAGCATGACAAAAAAAAGCAAAAAAGCGACAGAAAAATGACAAAAAATGACAGGGACAAATGACAGGACCAAAAAAAAATGCCAAAAAAAGGGCACAATCAAATGGAAAAAAATGACAATGCAAACGGCAAAATAAATATTTTCATGTACCCCAGTGTGTGGCTGCAAGTGCCTTCTAATATTAAAATAGCATCTGTATATATACAGTATTATACGGATGTGTGTGTGTGTCCATGGCGGCTGGCATTGCAGAAGGAAAGCTGGCGCCAGCAAATGGACGAAATCCGGGCCGTGAGCAACTCCTGTTTGCTCTTTCGTGGTCCCAAAAATGGGGCCAAAAACCGGCCCCAAAAACGGGGCCACACTATTGCTGGAAGAAGGAAAAGCTTCCAAAATGGCGGCCCCCGCAGTGAGTAGCGGAGACTCCGGAACCTTTCGTTTGTTTTCCTGGCAGTAATATGCAATAATGGGCTTGTAAAGCCGCATCCAAGTTTCACATTGAGGGCCCGCCATCAAGAATGCATTTTTCATATGCGGATGCGGCCCCAAAAACGGGCCCTGGTGGCAGCGCCGTTTGAGCACAAGCCGACTGACAGCCAAACGCATTCTCCACTACCGAACTGTGAGGAAACCAATTGCACTGCACCGGAAAATGGTTGGGAAGGCATGTGGCTCGAAAACAGGCAAAGATGTAGAACCCCATGTGGACAAACTCCAAGGAGACCACGCTACCCGAAACTATTCCTCCTCAAACCCGCACGTACATAAAGGATTACGCCGCTCCCATCTGTAATTACGGCCCGCGTATGTCCGATTACGCCCCTCAAACCCGCATGTAAATAAGGGATTACGTCCTTCCCATCTGTGGTTACGCCCCTGTGGCGCGAAGCACATTTCGAAGTCAAAATGCACAAAACACCTCAGTGTCGGACCGCTTTTGGAAGTTGCGATGTTGAAAAAGTGCACGCCGTTGTGGCGCGAAGCACATTTCGATGTCAAAATGTTAAAAACACCAGGGGTTCGGACCACTTTTGGAGGTTCAGATGTCGTTTCGCGTGGCAGGCGCAAGGGATTGTGCACCTTGTCAAAAGTCAGCAAAACGTGAGGGTTTTGTTGCATGTCCAAAAACCATGGCAGGCGTGGGGCATTTGAAGAGGATCTGCGAAGATGCATTTTCTGTGGCAGGCGCAGTACAAAAGACATGTGCATGAGAGATGTTAGGAGGTCAGGGCGCTGATTTCCTGAGAGGGGTTGCTTTTTGGAGCATCAGATCTGTAGGTTTACTAAGATGATTTTGCGTGACAGATGCAGCACTTCGTATGACCTGGCATCAATTTTTCGTGGCAGGCACAGTACTTTAGACAGGTGGAGTGGAAAAATCGCAAAACGCAGTGGTACGAGGCTGTCAGCGCTGCACTTAACTTTCCATTTTTGAAGGAAGTCTCGCAGAATTGCTTTGTTTTTGATGTTGTCAGCTTCAAGAATTGAGGAGGTCTCGCAGAATTGCTGCGTTTTCAAGCTTACAGATAGACAGCTAGATAGATAGACAGCTACAACTACAACTGCAACTACACTACTTCTACAACTACAAATACAACTACATGTACAAAATACTACGCTATGTTACACTACACTGATTACATTACACTACACTAATTGCCTACACTACGCTAGTTACAGTACACTACACTAATTACATTACAACTACAACTGCTACTACAAATACAGCTACACCTCCAACTACAACTAGACTACATTACACTACACTACATTACATTACACTACACGACTTACACTACACTACAGTTCACTACAACTAAAGCGACAACTACAACTAAGACACATTACACAACACTACAGCTACAACTACAACTACAGCTACAATTCCACCACGCTACACTACTCTAAATACACTACACTACAACTACAACTACACTACTTTACACTACACTACACTAGACTACACCACACTATACTACACTACAGTACGCAACACACAGTACACTACACTACATTACACTACACTACATGACACTACACTAATTACACCACACTACAACTACAACTACCACTACAAATACAGCTCAGCTTCAACTACACTACATTACACTACACTACGCTCACTACACTAATTACGCTACACTACAGTACACTACGGTACGCTACAACTACGCTACAGCTACACTACAACCACACTGCAACTATACTACAACACACTAGACTAGAACTGCACTACAGCTACAACACATTACACAACACTACAGCTACAACTACAACTACCCCACACTACACTACACTAATTTCACTACACTACAACTACAACGGCAGCTACAACTACAACTACACTACTTTACACTACACTACACTAGGCTACACCACACTATACTACACCACAGTACACAACACTACAGTACACTACACTACATTGCACTACACTAATTGCACCACACCACAGCTACAACTGCAACTGCAACTACAACAACCGACATACTAATTACACTACACTACAACTACAAATCCACTTCTCTACACTACAACTATAACTACATCATGAACTTCCACACTACCCCCGGCCGTACTACCCTACAAAAATATTAAGGATTTGACCATTTGTGGATTCCTTATTAGCATACTAATAAGATATTATTAGTATGCTAATAAGGAAAAAATCTCATTCTGGGATACAACCCTTAAATGTATCCTATTAGCATACTAATAATATGCTAATAGTAGCTTAAAATTAGATAGTAATTAAGGCCTAAAATCCATTACGTGTGATTTTGTATCCAATTCCTTATTAGTATACTAATCCGGTCTACATTAAGAAAAGTGCCTTTTTGCTTATTAGTATCCTAACAAGGATTTGTATCCCCAAATCATACAAAAACTTAATAGTATGCTATTAAGGCAATTCCCGTCCTTATTAGTATACTAATAAGTTTTTGTATCCAAACCCGGCCCTGGTGGATACAAAAAAATAATAGACACCTAATAAGACAAATTGTTATCCCTTCAAATCCTTATTAGGGCACTAATAAGTTTTTGTATCCAAGCCCGGCCCTGGGGGATACAAAAAATTAATAGACACCTAATAAGGCAAATTGTTATCCCTTTAAATCCTTATTAGGGCACTAATAAGTTTTTGTATCCAAACACTATATCATGGGATACAAAAAAGTACAACAACCTAATTGGCCTCTAATAAGGAGCAATTGTGGATGTTATCCCTTCCAATACTTAGTAGGGCACTATTAAGTTTTTGTATCCAAACACTATATGACCATCCCTTGTCTTTGCCATGAATCAAACGCTGTCACAGGAATGAAAGAAGCATCATAGGGCAGAACCTTGGAGTCATTGATGGTTTTCTCAATCACTGAGAGTGTCATCTCTGCAGTGTAGATTCCAGAGCAAGAGCTGGATACATACCGTGTGCTTCTGAGCAGACTGGCCTCCCAGTGGCCATGCATGAAAAGTAAAATGTTAAAAAAAATGCAGTGTAAAATTACGAAAAATACACATATCAAAAGATATTAAGTATATATAATTAAGATTATTTTAAGATCAATACTTGAAGATTCATGTAGTAAAAGCTACATGCAAGCCTTTATTTTTTCCATCTACCAACCAGAAACGTTACATTTTCCCATTGTTACTCCCATTTTGTCTCCCTGATGTACTACCCGCTGAATGTTTTAAACCTCATTATGGATTGAATTAATGGATAGAAATCTCATTTTTTCATTTTTTTTGACAAAAAATGGTTTGAAAAAAACTTTCAAAATTTCATTCCAATACCTTGAGAATGACCCACTGAATGTTTTAAACCTCATTGTGGATTGAATTTATGAATAGAAATCTCATTTTTCAAAATATTTTGACAAAAAATGGTTTGAAAAAAAAACTTTCAAAATTTCATTCCAATACCTTGAGAATGACCCACTGAATGTTTTAAACCTCATTGTGGATTGAATTTATGAATAGAAATCTCATTTTTCAAAATATTTTGACAAAAAATGGTTTGAAAAAAAAACTTTCAAAATTTCATTCCAATACCTTGAGAATGACCCACTGAATGTTTTAAACCTCATTGTGGATTGAATTTATGGATAGAAATCTCATTTTTCAACATATTTTGACAAAAAAAAATCGGGAAAAAAAAACTTTCAAAATTTCATTCCAATACCTT